CCCTTGCAGAATGTCGTAAAGAGGTTTTTGTGCCACTTATCATAATTTGTGCTTTTTCTTGTGAATCTAGGTCATGAGTTGTGCTTTTTTGTTCATTAGATATATTCATGATTAATTCTCAACTAATTACTCGGTTCATATGCAATTTAAGTTCAGAGGTACAATCAACTTATCCAACGATTTCAATATTTCTTGTTCTTTTGATTTTCGTATGTCTATTAATCATCTTTTATGTTCCTTCATTAATAATTATGTTGAATCATCAAACTTTGTTTGTTTTCTTTATTGATCACCAATAAGTTCTTTGTTCCTCTCAACTCTAGTTGTAGGCTGTCTAAAAATCACAATAGATAGTTGATCCCTATCAGACTTCAACCGACAGTTTTGACTAAGAATGTTACAATCAGACGATTTTCTTGTTAACAAAGGAAGGCTACAATCAGAGGATTCTCCTATGGATCAAGAAGAGATTATAAGGCAACGATTTCTTCAAACCAAGATGCAGAATTCATCCTTACAGCTGAAACACATGTAATTTCCAAAGTCAACACAATCGCTACATCCTCAACTATTTCGCAGCTCCATATCGCTGCAAAACGCGACTCCAGATACTGCGTTTAGGCGCAAGTCAAGACTTTGACTCGTTCAAACGCGATCCATACGGTTTTAAAAAAACCGCTACTCACCCACGATCTGGGGAGTGGTTTAAGTGGGTTATTATACCCGATTGATGGGGCGACTAAACCCTCATTTAGGCGCGGATTATGAGGACAGTTACACCCCTAATATCCCTATAAATATCAACAAACTCAACAGAGTTCGGGATCGGATTTGGGGAGAGGATCTAGGGGATCAGATTTCAAAGATCTGAGAGTGATTCTGGCGGCTGATGGATTAATCCTCTCTTCAGCAACAAAGAATTCATATACTTGGCTTATAAATCGATTATTCGGTTAAAACAACTCTTTTAACAGAGTTTGGCATTCATTCTGAGTCATAAAACTCGCAAAGAGTTCTCCAATTGTTCCAGTGAAGACAAGGCGTTCGGATCGTCAACGGAGAACAAATTCGACATAAGCATTCGAAGGAGGCACTCCATCGCTACTGTGAAGAACCCAGAATTAAACAAGGGAGAATCCAGATCATTCTCCTCTCTTTTGTAATCGAAAATCCAAATTGTAATTAAAATCGAGAGAATACAAATCAAATTTCTTTCATTTTACTTACTTCAAATTTTCCACCAAACACTAGCCTACAAAGATTAACTAATAAAACAAATTGGCTATCTATCTTCTATTCATTAAGTAAATTAGAATACACAAACCCATATATGATATATTTGACTGAATTGTAAAACGTTTTGATTTATTATATGAAGTCTAGATTTATTTGTCTCTATATTGAGATTCTCTATTATATTAAAAAATTGACCTACACATTTCCCACGAGCTGAGCTATTCAAAGAATATCTTTATATCGGTCGTGATTATATCTTTATATTGGTTGTGATTCCATCATGCTACTATAGCTTTTGTAATTTTGCATCTAATAATATTTTTTGCTATTCCAACAAGATACTAGACATTTAATATTATTTTTTTCTTTTAGTGGCCTTTGTATCTTTCGTGCATTATATCTTGAGAGTCAATATACCCCAAGTAAATATTATATCGTAAGTGCATATTTAAGAATCAATAATGTAGAATATATTGTTTACTAATAATTATTAAACAAAGTATGCCACGTGCAACGCATGTGTGGCATACTAGTTATATAAAAAAACATATATACACACATATATATACACATATATACATGTATATACATATATATGTGTATTTAGGATCACTAACCAATTATAGAGAAACTTAATCAGAGAAAGGAACCTACTAAAATTTTGCCAAGAAACTTCATAGGGCTAAAAAAATTTCTAAAAGCAATTAAGAAATTTTGAGGAACATTTTTTCCTTAACAAAGAAGACTTGCAATATGAATGATAGGGATCAATATACTCGATTCTATTCTAGAGGAACTTAGCATCATAGATCTCATTGAGATATCATCAAATTTTATTCGGTTTGAGATAATGCAAATTTTACTTGGTTATTGTTAGGATAAGAATAAGGTTACTGATAGAATTGAGATTGTTTTGATTTGATTTGTTTAGAGATGAGCATTTACATGTTTTTAGACAAGATTCGAATTATCTTCTGTTTATTTGAATCTCTATAAAAGGGGTGAACTTTTATGTCACCGTTAGTAAATTTTGAATGAGAATTATTGATCAAAGAGATTTCTAGAGTGATTTTAATTATACTTTTTAAGCTTATTCTTTCAGATCTGAACCTACAAAGCCTCAGTGATGCAGGACGGAGAAGTACCAGAACCCTCAGGTGAACAATACCCGTGAACAGTATTTATGAACAGTATCACGTGTTCTCCACATTGCAACCTCTTCTTCACAGATCTGATCCATGCAGAATTCGTCAGGGATGAGAACTACAAAACTCAGATCCAAACCTTTATTCCTATTTAATCAAATTGCTTATATTGTGATTAATTAAAACTGATACATCATTGATCTTATATTGAATTGACCCTTTCATTTTGATACCTTTTCCTAGGATCTAACTAACAAGAATTAAATTCAAATGCTGAGTACTCAATTAGGATTTGTGGACTGTGCCCAGCTCTATCAGCAGGCCCCTTCTTTTCAAGACATGCTCGTCCGGTACGGAGGTTTCAATTGGACCTTTTGCTCTTACCGGGTTTCAAATCATTCGTATGGTCTTCCCAAGAACTGAGTGACAAAACTGGCTACCAGCAAGAAAGGATTCGATGATCTACCTACCGACCGATTCACTCTCCATCCAGCACTCACTTGAAAGCTTTTAGTTACGACTGAAAGAATAAGCACTCGAACGACTTTCAATGTTGCGATCGGGCGGGATCCCTTTTTCTATATTTTTAGAGAAAGGGAATTGACGTTTCATGCCTCAGGTTTATTGAAAACGCATTCCTTATTTGTTGTAGTTTTTGCATCATTTATTACTATTAGTTGTTAGTCTATTATAGTTTGATATTTAAAGTTATTTTCTGTTGTAATTTTAGTGTGAGTTTGCATTTACTCTGCATATTAGTTTGTTTAATCACTTTTCCTAGAACTTGATAGATTGTGCTACGTCAATAAACTTCAAAGAAACCATCGCACATATAATGGATATATTGGGCAACATATCGGCCTATATATCAGCTTATCGGGGATACATCACCCAAAAATTGCCAAAAAGTGATAAGGATATTGAAATTAAATCTTTTTATGGCAAGCCCGATAAAAGGATATATCAGCTAGTTTATTAGGTATATCAGGAAAATTTAGAAAAATGGATCGAACACCAGCACTTCATGAACACTCCTTGAGTACACGCATGGATTTATTTATATGAGTACTCAATTAAACACTTGTCACACACTTCTTAGGTGAATCTCCTAACTTCACATCCAAATTCTGAAACTTTTGGGCAAGGGTTAGCTGATAGTTCAAAACTACAATTTTAAAAGGTCATTTAAGTATCTAGCTCATAACTATAACTATGCTTTCAGCTCATATGTTTCAGCCTTGTGCCGGTACCCTAATTTTTACTAGTTTCTTGTGACCAATGTTTTAAATGCGCGAGGCGCAATGCGGAGCGCAAAGTCAGTTTACGCGCACATGCGCAAGGCGCAATGCGAGGCGCGCGCCCGAGCGATTCCACAAAAAAATTTGAGATATACAAGATGAATGAAAAGTATATATATTTGTGAAATTTCATATATATTTGTCAAATCCAACTTCCTAGCTCACTACCTCAAATCATTAACTCAAATTATTAAGTATTCAGTAAAGTAGTAAACATTAAAAATCAGTTTACTACTAAATTATCGAACACGAAGATGCTCTTGAAAAAGATAAACGAAGAAAAAAAGAAAAGAAAAAAAGGGGAGAGAGAAACGAGCAGATAAAGAAAAGAAAAAAACGAAGATGAAAAAGATAAACGAAGAAAAAACGAAGAAAAAAGGGGAGAGAGAAACAAGCAGATAAAGAAAAAAATGAAGAAAAAGAAGAGAGAATCGGGAAGACAGAACACGAAGAAAGAAGAGAAAGAAAAGAAAAACGAGCAGAGAAATAAAAGAAAAAAATGGTAAAATACCTTCGATCACCGCCGGCTACTCACCGCGTTCTGCTCGTCAACCTCTGGCTGCTCGTCGACCTCCGATCGCCGAAAGAAGCTCGCCACCGCAGGAGAAAACCAAAGACCATAACCAAGAGGGGAGAGAGAACGGAAGAAGCCCTAATTCTTTGCAACAGTAACAATCAAAGATGTGAGACCGAACCCAAGTAGTTTGGGACTTTGGATTTAAGATTGAGTCGGGTTTTCTACCCGATAGCCCGCTATTAAATAATCAAATCCTCCTTCAAATTGATGCGCTCGCCTCGCCGCTTCTGATGAGGCGCTACGGAGCGCTAGGAGGTGCGCGCTCGGCGTAAGCGTAGCGCCCCGCACCTCATGCGAGGTGATACACCGCTACGTCGCAGCGCCTTACGCCCGAGGCGCGCGCCCCAAACCGCCTTTAAAATCACTGCTTGTGACCAGTACTCGATCTCATACTCGTATCCATGCAAATTAAGTTCAAACTCACCAATATAATTCTAGCATTTAAAATATCATTGCAATAAAAATGTTAAGAAGGTTTTCCATTGTGTATTCAATTTTTGACATTGTTTTCGAGTAACTAATTGTAACCTATCTGTAACCCAATATGAATGTCAAATTCCATCTATTATAGTGAAAATCCTACTTTCTAATTGTAGAGAGAACAGACAGCACCAAGAATAGACCAAAGAAGTGTCGAAAGTGGATATAACAGTTTTAGTATGACCATCATTCACTAAAATCACCATAAAGACGTAATTTCTATTATTCAACTGAGAGATGAAAAATAGCGTTTGCTATGCTTACCGATAGCACCTATTGCATCAAGACGGTCAGCATCTTGGACAACCCCAAATTCCGTAGAGAAATCAAAGCATGATATCTTTGCAACTTCATTTTTAAAACCTGTATATATAATGATGCTTCATTAGAAACTCTTAGTTTGTAAAAATTTCAGCATTTTGAAATGTTGCCAATAACTCAAACTGAGAAGATAGTTGGAGAATTTAGATTGATTCTTCTCTTATTAGATGATTAGTCATAATGGGAATCTCATTCCCAAACATCAATTTGGTTCAGGATTCCATTTCCCTACCATGTGATACATTATGAACTGAAGCTACTATTGTTACAAAGAAAAACTAGATATTAGCTAACAATGTAGGTCAACTATATGAAAATGTAGGTGAGAAAACTAAAATATAAAATAAAGCCATATCTATTGTTTATAAATCAATTAAGTTTCAAATCTTGTAAAAGTAATCAAATACGCATTAATCTCAGGGTTGAAAATCTCCATGTATGAAGCAAATGACAAAGGATGATAATGACAACAAATAATTTTATTTATGTATTTAACATGAAGTTTGAACTGAACATAGGAATACCCTACTGAAAAAGCATTGGCAAAATTGTAAATGAGCTAAAAGTTTTATACAACTTGTGAGCTAAAAGTTTTACACAACTTGTGACAATATCAAGACATTCTGAACTTGTCTGAAGTGAGTACTCTGGAAACAATATAAACAACACCAGGAATTCATTAAGATTTATGCAGGAAATAAAGACAGCTATATAAATCAACAGGCAGAAGCTTACTCATTACCAGGTATGCGATGAAAGTGAAAGTGCAAAACATTTATACTCATTGAAATAAGTCAAAATCAAGAAGATGCCAACAACTTGGCAAGTCTGTTAAATTAAGACTTCCAGACCAAGTTTTTGGGTCCGCTCAAGTCATTTATTACTTGGCAAAGGTAGAGCTCTGTCCCTTTATTTATATTCCCCAAGCTCTCTCTAATTCTACGAGTAAAGGTGTATGTAGTGGTTTTTGTTCATGTGGGCGGGATTTGTTACATATCAAATTAGTTTCTTCTAGTTGCTGTCAACTTATGGCAGCTGACAACTAATAGAGGTTAAGCGTCAACTCCTTAAGTATATCTCTCCATGGGGTTCTCATTAATATGGCAAAATACTTGAACTAAAATTGACATCTTAATGCTTGTAGCCTGAGAGAGGAAACTACACTTTAAACATCTTGGACTTAATGTAGAACCTGAGATCCATTCCCAAGAAAATAAAAATAAAAATAATTCTCCACTGACTGCATAGACAATTTGTGCAAGTTCAATCATCTCTTTGGGACTGCTTGTTTGCTGTTGAGTCCATACAACTTCCCTATTACATTCAATGTCATCAACATGAAAAAATAAAGAACCAATTTGAATAAGCGACTGCCCTCTGTAAAAAATTCCTGTAGAAATCATGTCAGCAATAGATGTCGATAGGAAAAAAATTATTTTCATTTCTTGAAAAAGCATTCCTAAGTATATATTGGAATGGTTGAGAAGAAATACTTTTACTATAAATCATCATCATTCTAGACCCTGCGCAAATGTTGGTACAGCTACTTTTCTTTAAACATTCCTAAAACAGGCGTGAATCTTCAACACTTTGTTGTTGATATGTAATAATTCTTTTACAATTTGATTCACTAGCCTGGAATTTCTGGGAAATATGCGGTACATTTCCATACACATTATTTCACTTTCATGTTGACGTATATCAAAAACTACTTTAAACGGAAAAAATATCAATGTATAGACTAGTTTAAACGTATGACAATATTACATGTGTTTTAAGGATGTTTCAGAAGTATAACCTCAAAATTATAGCTAATTTTCCCAAATAATTGTAATACCTAATTTGCTCGCAAATTTGTTTTCATCTTCAATTTTACCATCAATCTAATTATTAGAGAATCTATTTGAATATACTGTTAAATTTAGCAACTAATTAATTATTTCATGAAGTATTAAATTATCCTTGACTAAATTTAAAACACAACACTTCTATTTGTCAATGCCATAAATGTCGCCGCAATCCCAGCTAGGCTGCCTCCTCTCTCCTACCTCGCACCCCTCCTGCACCCGCAACGCTCGAGTCATGCAACTCCTCTTCCCTTTAACCAACATCCACTTATCCCACTTAGTACCTGGCCTCTCACCCCCCGCCCCCCGCAAAACAAACCCTCCCCCCCCCCTCTCAAACACCACATCACCAACAGTGTCTACCTTCTTGCTCACCATCCCATGCCATCTCCTCCCTTCCACCAGCACCTCCTCTCTTCTTTCATCACATGCCACCCATTCCCTACCATATTCCACCCACTTTGACCCCTTCCCCCTCCCCTCACATCCTGGCAAGTCTTCATCTGTCCCCACCCATCCTCAACTCATTTATCTATTAAATGATATTATTCTAGTGAAACATAGATTCAGAAATACAATTACGGAGGAAAACACATTGCATCGAAATTTAGTACTTAATACTTGGAGGCAAAGTTTTTATATTTTCAAATAGAACCAACATTTTTAATGTGAATAGTGTCATAGAGTAAGCTATCTTATAACAAGATGAAAAGTCAACTCCTATTTATTCAGGCGAGACATAAAAATGTGCTAGATTGGAATTTTATCATATATGTAATCATTTTTTACCATAAATATTTTAATGGACTTTAGATTTTACATGAACAAATTTATGCATATATGTTACTGTAAAGAACAGCATAACCAAGCTACTTAGACATAGGTGTCCTCTTAGGCCCTAAGTAGGGCATATGAAGCAGTCAATCCACTTGAACATCCCTAGGTGCTCACAAATCACCAATGTTACATTAAACGCTGGGCGCTTTTAGGCGTCGGATTTGGCGCCCAACGCTTAGTCCTAGGCGGACGCCTAACAGGTTTCTGGGCGTTTTTTTTTCTTTCTTTGTTTAAGTGGTGATCGATGAGGTTTTGCTGAAGGTCGGAGGAGGTAGTGGAGGTGTTCATATTTGGAGGTTAATAGAGTTTGGAGGACGTATAGGCTACGACACATAAAATCATAATCAAGGCCTACAGGGTGCAATCCACGTAAGCAGACAATGCTCACCTAAACGCTCGTAATATCTAGGTGGGCAGCCTAAATACCGCCTAGGCGCTAGGCGCTAGTTAGGCAGCCTAGGTACTGCCTAGGTCTAGGCGTACGCCTAAGCGGACTAGGCGGAGGTTTTTTAAAACAGTGCAAATCACTTTAAAAAGGCAATTTACTTGGTTAGAATATAGTTGGATCTTACAACTTCAAATCCAATCCATAATGATCCCTAAGGGGACGTATATCTTCTCTAGACTGATGTGCAATCTCATATGAATTTCCTTCCGCTATTCTGCCATCCCTTTCTTTCAAATTATTGATGTGAACTGAGTTGACAACATTCCTTTCCACCACTAGCAATGTCATTTTCCTCTAATTATTCTCATTAATTTTGATGTACGCTCTACTATTTTTACTTAGGTTCCAACTCTCATGTCATGTCGTTGTTAAGCCCTCTTTCATTTTTGCTCGTATGGCATGCAACCCTTGTTGCTTGTTTCCTTCTCTTCATCTGTTGTTGCTCCATTGTAAGGTCGTTATTGTTCTATATTAATTATTAAGGGTGGAGGTTTCAACTCTCTTTACACACACATAGGTCATGTTCCCATTTTATTCTGACATATTTCTTAAGTATGCCCATGATGCATGTCTATCTATGCTTCTTATCTATATCCACATTACAATTCCTTAAATTTCCATGATAACTTGCATACTCTTATAAAGAAAATATATTAAGCCTCCTCAATGAAAAAAATATTGTAAGAATGGTGCTTTTGGAAAATGGCAAGTAAATTGGTTTTCTCAAGCAAAAATGTCTTTATCTTAGAATGCAGGCACTAATTCCAAGAGGTTCAATGCTTTGTTATAATGAAGCATGTATTTGACACTTGACCCATGCTCAGATGGAGTATGCCCATTGAAGAAATACGGTAAGAAACTTCTTTCTAATCATAGTGTAAACTAGAAAACAAAGTCTTTGCATAAGAAGATTCTTCAACATTTATGCTATACCTGTGTTCATATTATTATTAATGAGAAATTGATATGTAGAACAATGATACTTTTTCCTTGACAATAGACTATAGTATATCTAATAGTATTGTCAAAGTGCAAGGTGTAGAGCAACGGTAAAAGCCTTTAACGTGCCCATTAAAGATCCAATGTGCAAGGTGTAGATGAGACACTTGCCTAACTAAAGTAAGACGTAACTGCTACCACTCCATAAAATTTTGAACATAATGACAATTTACACTTAAGATCAACGCAATACATGTTGATTATTAATACTAAATTTAAAGAAACTCTTATTCAGGTACATAATTTTCTTTCACATATACTTGATAATAACCTATAATTCTGGAAAACGGGTTTCTCAACCAATGTTGAAACTAGAAAAAAAGTAGTGATAAGAAAACATGAAAAAAGTATGAGAAAGAGAATGGGAGGATAAAAAAGGACGACAGGAGAAGAAAGATAAGGCAGCCACCTAATGAAGAAATAAGAAGAAAAAAAACTCATAATAAAAAGAGGAAGAAAGAGAAAAGAAAAAGGGTAAATGGCATAAAAATACCATAAAAGTTTCCATTATGCAGCAGATAAATACCATAAGTTATATTTTATAGCATTAAAATACCATAAGTTTTCAAGAAGTAGCACATTGCTACCATCTGTTAACAGATTAATGGAATATTCCATAAAACATGCCAATCTGATTGTCACATGAAAATTTTGATTAGCATTTAACGTTAATGATTGCAATATTTACTCTTTTACCTACCCCTCTCTATATTTAACTTTTTACATACTTTTTTAAACCCTAAACCCCAAAATCTCTCCCATTCTCCTCAAATTTGACCTCTAAATCCCCAAACTCTATCTTGATCTTCCCCATTTCATCGCTGACATCCCAAATCATTGCAGGCAAGCATGAAGTCAACATCCAGAGTTTCAAGTTCACGTTCGAATTCAAGTTATGGTGGAGCCAGTAGGAGACAAGGGTGTGTTATTGTGGAACAATTTTGTCACTGAAAACCAATTCTTGAGTGAGGAATTACCAAATTAGGGATGAAAGTCTTAGCCCTAACGAGATCCCTTCTCCAAGGTCCAAAGTTTGGTGCAATCCCTCTTCTTCTCCATGATCAGCCAAACCCCAACGAGATCAAGTTTCTTAAAATAAAGGTATGGTTAAAATTCTAAAGAAATAATGTTAAAAATGGAGGGGTTGAGTGTACTTATCGTTGTAATTATGCCAGGGGTAATTTCATCCATCCATCAGTTTTATAACATTGTTAGTGAGTTTTTAACAAGATGGTAGCAAGGTGCTACTTTTCGACAACTTCTGGTATTTTTATCCGACAAAATGCAACTTGTGATATTTATCTGCTGCATAATGGAAACTTTATGGTATTTTTATATCATTTACCCAATGAAAAATAATGAATATTTTAATAGTGTAGTAGAAAATTAAGAAGTAGAAGAAGAAAAAAGAACAGAAACTAGAACCTATCTTGTTTTCAGTAAATGAAATTTCCATTAACCAAACTGAGCATTTAATTACATTCATAACCCGTCATATCCAGGAACAAATTACAACTTACCAGTGTTCAATCCAAAACTAAAATTGAGCGGACTTTGGACAACTACATACTCTAGCAAATATGTCCACCTTAACATTTTTAACTAAAACATTAACATTCAAAGCACAATGCTGAAACTAGAACCCACTTAGTAATTATTGTTGTCATTCAATCCAGAATAAGCAGTTTGCGACTACAGAATCAATGTTTCAAATATATCAGTAGTAAGAATAATAAAAAAAATGGGAAAATGAGAAAGAAGAAGAGGGAACAGACAAGCAATTTGGGAAAGAAACATAATGAGGAAAAAATGGCAAAAGAGTATATGAAATAGAAGGAATGAGAGGATGCAGCAACAGTAGTAGAACAAGAAGGAACACTGAGATGCACCAAGGCGTGAGGCACAAGGGAGAACAAGGAAAAATGGAAAAATGAGGTGTGCATTTTGCTTACATGATGCCTCAGGTACCTTGTGCGATGCAGCTATAGAGTCCAAAGTGGCTGATGCCCGATGCAATAACCTAGTGTGTCAAGATGAGAAAATGTCTACATAATTGAGCAACTACTTTTATTGAGGAAAAGGGCATTATGTAGAAACTAATTTACGTAGATAGTTTCTCTAGTAAAAAGAATAGAGCTCTAGCTGATGATCTTCACAATATTATCCATATATTCTACAACCACACGCTCTCTAGTATCTTATATTTGACAGTAAGGATTACCAAATGTCATGATGTCACATAATCACATCTAATGTTGTCATTACTTGGGATAATTGGACAACATTATGCTTCAATCAATTAGAATGCTGATAGCAACACAATTTGGAGATTGTAAAAGAAGCATTTCAAACATAGACATGAAGTAGAAAATGAATCCTTTAAACTTGGAGATTATCTCTTCCCATGGTTGCTTCTAAGGACATTAAAATTATTCAAGCCCCTTATGTGTAACCCTCCAGAACATCCTGCTATGTCAAGTAGTAGAAATGTAAGATACTGATCTCTTTGAATCTTCTTTCCTTTCATAAGCAATGGAGCTTCTCTCCATTCTTCAAAAACTAGTATGAGATAGGAAAAGAAGTTTGTCGTATTTAAGCCACAAAGAAAGCATCACTAGTAAAACAAGGTAACTCAAAACCTTGACCAGTGATAATAGCGTTCTTGTATATTATGCTCAACTGATATAACTACATGCTCACAAGTGTTTTTCTTGACTAATGTGAACTGTCAGAATTAGTGTTATTCTTGTATATTATTCTCCAAAAACTAGTTTGAGATATTTACTGTCTCTACAGACCTTGCCTTCCCGTTCTTTTTTTTTTCCTTTTTCTTTTTCCCCCTTAGATAAAATATATATGCTTTGAACCCTAAATCACATCTCAACATATTATCTTTCTTTTTCAATTATCAAACAAACATCCTTTAATTAATCAGAATGTGGATTATTAATGTTACTTGGATTTTGTGAAAGGAAATACTTTTGTAACTTGTACTTAGAAGCAGCTTCATCATAATAACATTGCTGACATCTAAAGCTGAATTTGTTGTTATTATTGTAGAGAGAGAAAAGTGAGAGAGAGACAGAGAGGTACTATTCAGGAGCCATACCAACCTATTTATAGATGACAGGTTGAGTAGAGTACAAAAAGATATAGTAGTTACTACACAGGAACAAAACAAGCTAAACTAGTCTGATACCTATTCTAACAATTTTCATACGATACAATGTTCTAAAAAACGGATTATGCGGACTCTTACTTGCTCGTTCACTTGGATGCAGACTGAAAATGCTTAGGTTTTGGGAAAGTGCTCCATTATGCGGTCATCCACTAACCGAGCATTTTTTTAGCTATGTGCTCGCATAAAAAGCTTATGCGTCTATGCGGATGCTTTTTTTCTTAATAAACTATTGGGAAAAACCCATTAAAGTGAGACCTGACCCGCTTGATCTCTTTTAACAAAAAGCACTAGCCTTAACCCAATCTCTTCTCTATCTCCTCTAATTATTCCCAAAACATCCACTAGCGAGTCATTGCAAGCATGAAGTCAACATCCAGAGGTTCTCCCTTGATGTAGAAAAGATCCAATATTACGCAGTTGCCTTAAGAATAAAGCATCACAAGTGATTAACTGACTCAATAAAATGATAAAGTTAATTCTGTATTTTTTTCCCTTCATAAGAAAAGTTGTATGATTTAACTTGTGGTTGCAGACATGAGTCATGACTTAGATATTAGTAAACAGAGCCGGCCCTAGGGGTAGGCGGAAGAGGCCTTCGCCTAGGGCCCCAAAACATAGGGGCCCCAATGTAATACTTCTATACCTTTAGATAGATATAGATATGGAAAAGTAAAAGGACTTTGTTTTCGTCTTCTACTAAGCGGTGGGATATTTTCAAAGAACATGTTTTTGGTCTCACACTTAAGCCATTATCACAAACACGGTGGGAAAGTAATGTTGAAAGTGTAAAAGCAGTAAGATTTCAAGCTACAGAAATAAGAGATGCTTTAATTCACTTGGCAAGTATCGATGGAGATCCAAAAATAAAAAATAAAGAGTGAACCTGAGTCCTTAGCAACAAATGAAATGGAGAATTTTGAGTTCTTATTGGGTATGATTGTTTGGCACAATTTATTATTTGCTGTTAATTATGTTAGCAATTTTTTGCAAAAGGAAGACATACAAATTGATATTGCTATAGATCAATTGAATGGGCTTATATTATTTTTTGAAAAGTACAGAGAAAATGGATTTAAGGAGGCCATTACCGAAGCTAAAAAGATTGCATCTGAAATGGAAATTGAAGTTGTATTTCGTGAAAAACGTATCATTCGCAGGAAGAGGCAATTTGATGAAAATGCTACCGAAGAGACAATATTATCTCCTGAAGAATCATTTAGAGTTAAATACTTTCTATATATAGTGGATCAAGCTATTTCTTCTCTTAAGAGTAGGTTTGAACAATTTCGGCATTATGAAGAAGTCTTTGGGTTTTTATTTGATTTGAAGAAATTCAACATTGTTGATGATGCTAGTTTGAAGGCTTATTGTGCGAAACTTGAAGAATCTTTAAAGCATGACAGTCATTTTGATATTGATGACGAAGATTTATTTTTAGAGTTAAAACTTTTGAGAGAATACTTACCAAAAGAAACAACAAAAGCAATTGACGTGCTGAATTATTTGAAGAAATTAGATGGTACTTTTCCGAATGCTTGGATTGCTTACAGAATATTATTGACCATACCTGTTACTGTTGCCACTGTAGAAAGAAACTTTTCAAAGTTAAAATTGATCAAATCTTATCTTCGATCAACTATGTCACAAGAAAGATTGAATGACTTAGCTTTATTGTCAATTGAGAAAAATATAGTGGAGAAACTTGATTATACAAGTTTAATTAATGATTTTGCATCTAAAAATGCAAGAAGAGGTTTCATAAAGTGATAATTCTATTGGTTCATTGATCTTGTTTTGGGAATGAGAGTGTTAGGGTGTGATTTGTAGGCCTTTGGCCAGGGTGGGGTAGCTTATTGTGTTTGATTCTTGAGGTTAGTTATAACATCCCTTGGTATGTAGGCAGCCCTAAAGTTACTTGGGTGTAACACTTTATTTAAAAAAAATCTTGAATATAGGAGGGCCCTTTTAGGATTTTTGTTCAAGTTTTTGCCTAGGGCCCCCGAATGCTCAGGATCGGCCCTGTTAGTAAAGTCTTAACCATTCCTAATAGGATATGTAGTTGTATCAGAAAAATGTGACTTTTTCATCATTTTCTATGAGGAAAAATTTATTGTAACAGATGATAACTCATGATAATGGAAGTATCACATAAATTAGTAAGTAACATTGAGAGAAAGGTTTGAGATCTCAGTACTGTTTTGATTTTCATTTTCCTCCAGGCTCCATTGATATTGGTATCAAGAGTTGCACCGGCTTTGGAATTTCTTTATCAGAAGAATCAGTAAATGGAATAAGTTAACTTGATCACAAACCTTCTATGTATTGATTTCTTTTTTTATTTTTCTCAGTATAAAACTATCAAAATATAATTTGGTACTTGAAATCTCAGATTTCCTACATTAGTCGCTATCAGAAAATATCAGACTTATATTAATTATTATTAACCCAAATTAGTGGTATCAAAAGGTTCCAGCTAGATCAAAAAATCAACATGTTACGGTGGATTATACATATCAGTATCGATCAATACTTAAAACCATAAGTAAGTGATGTCAGATACACAAAGTTTAATCGGGCTCTCAGGATAAAATAAGGTATATAATAGTTTAACCCATTTTTAAGAAGAAGAATAGTGCCATATGAGAAACAAAAAGGGTGACTTCCATCTTTCATTAAAGAGATAATCGAAGGAGATAGATTTAGACTTAGTAAATAACAATGTAACTAGGGATCATGACTATAATAGATGTTTGAAAAACTCAAATATCGAGATCCACCCACACTGATGAGTTTTTTCTCCTTTCTCACAACTTCTAATCTAAGAGTACTTGCTTACCCACTGTGGAAAAAGTTAATATGGTCATCGTTAACAGAATTTGATTGAAAGGTTGTGCAAATGAGTCAATATGACTACAAAAAGCTGACGCTAAAAAGCGGCTAACATGTTTATCCACTCCAAGTTTCTCCCCCTCTTCTCCAAAAGTATGATGCAGAGAGGGGGAAGAGGGGTGGGATAGTAACTTTGCTATATAAATTAAATAAAAATGTTACTTAACACAAGAATATGCTTTCAAACCAGAGTTTAAAGCCACAAATGTTAGAAGCATACCCATTCCTTTTATGATGCTCAATATTTTCTCTCGTTTGCTATCTTCCAATCCCTCTTCCTTGAGAAACTTCTCCAGGATTGATGTATCCTCAACCAAGTCTCTGCACATAAAGATCGAAATCCCAAAGGCATGAAGGTTTCTTTTTCCTAACAAATGATTCTCAATTTTTGGACAAGAATTTAACAAAAATGAAACAGATAACAATCAGGGTGAAATTACAATATGGAAGCTCCAGAAAGTTAAGGACATCATGATGCATAATTCATTTAGTCTGCTTCTTAATTTTAGTAATTAGGCATCATGGACCGAATAACTATAGAAAATATAAGCACACTCGGAAACCAAGGAGTAAAGAAAGGTACCCACTTGGTATACTTGTAGTCTCCTGCAATAACCAAGACCAAAAACGGCCTCCTAATCAGTAACAGAGTACAAACAACGCACCTTTTCCAGACATGGAGGGTAGAGAATAATAACTTACCAATGTCATGAAGAAGAGCAGCAATCTCCACCTGTAAAAAGCAAAAACAAAAAAAGAAAATGTTAAAGGACTGCATATCATCTCATACTTAAAAAATTATCCAGCCTCTATATGGTATACTGGATTCAATCACAAACATGGTTGATCAAACACTACACTTGCAACATTTTCAATTATCCAATTCAAGATTACTCTCATACCCAAATTATCAAACATCTGGTGTGCCAACAAAAGATTAAATAGTAAAAAAAAGCAGACAGCACTCAGGTCTACTCAGCAAATTATCAAACACTTGATGTGCATTAAAACAAAAAAGTTAAGCAATTGGATCCCAATCTTTTCTTACTATCTCAAAGCAATGGTCGTCCAGTCCTTCCTCTTTAGCGAGGGAGAGGGCGAGATCGCGGACCCTGTAAGCGTGAGCAGCGTCGTGGGAGGCGTCACGTGCTCCCATCGTCTCCTCGACCAGCTTCTCAGCCTTCCTCACAACCTCCTGCTGTCTCTCCCACTCCATCGCTGGTTCCTCCGGTCAAAAATATGCGATGTCTCCTATCTATAGGGCTATTGGAAAATGTTGCACCTACTACTGTCTTATGCTTTGTTTGGAATTTTAAGGGCTTGTTTGGATTGAGGGGAACAAGGGAGAAGGGAAGTTACGGGAACTATTCATTTTGTTTGGGAACATTTAGCAGGTGAAGTTATTCACCTTAGTTCTTCTTGGTTCACCTCTTAATAGTATAAAATTTGTTATCCCAAATTAGGGTGTAACCAAGGGGAAGGGAATTCCCTTCCCTTCCCTTCCCTTCTCTCACCTAGTTTCTCTTCCCTTCTCTCACCTAGTTTCCCTTAAGGCTTGTTTGGATTGAAGGGAAGTTAGGAGAACCATTCACCTCCATTCATCTTGTTTGGGAACACTTAGGAGGAGAAGTTAATTCATCCTAGTTCCCCTTGGTTCACCCCCTAATAGTATAAAAATTGTTACCCCCAAATTGGAGTGTAACCAAGGGGAAGGTAACTCCATTCCCTTCCCTTCCCTTCCCTTCACTCAGTTTCCCTTAACTTCCCTTCACCCCCTACAAATCCAAACAGGCCCTAACTTCATTGAAATCCAAACACACCCTAAGGAAAACGTAACTAAATTTATTTTATTTTCTTTGGAAATTCTAATAAAGAGGAGGTTAGAGAAATGAATATGTATAAAGTTACATAAATACCCTTATCAATTAGATAGGAGTATATCTTAGTCATTAATTTTAATGTCATAAGGGCATAATTGTCTTATCACATTGTAAAATTTTACATTGGTTTCTATTACATCCTCTACCCCAAATTGGTGGGGAGGAAAATTGAAGGAAATTTAACATTTCATTACATCCTCTAACCCCTCAAAAAAACTCCCAAACAAGATGAAATTGAATTTTCACTTTAACTTCCATCCAAACAAGGTGTTAAGCGGAATTATATGAAACTTGAGGTGGACCTATCAGTAGGAGTCAAATCTGTCTCTATATCCCAATTCAAAACTCCCCCTCCCTCTTCAAATCCAATCGGGAAAACATAACATGACGCCCCTACTTTCACACAAGGCTACAGTTTAAGGTGAACCCAATGATATCAAACCTGTCATACACCCACACTATACAAAAAGTATGTTTCACCATCACAATAATATCTCTCCAGTTGAATCAAATAATAGAAGTGCAGGTACAAGCAGATGAAATAAAGGTAATAAAGCAATGAACATGATATAGAGAAGAGATATCTAAAAATAGTCATAATCATGTTTCAACTGAGTAGAAGAGAGTACAACTGAGAAACTGAAATAAAAGTGAAATATCTCAATGCACAAGAGTCGTTTGAAATAATACTAAAGCACTCAGCCTCCTACATGAAATACATCTCTAATGTCTGAAAATAATTAATAATTATTGTGGAGAATTTAATAACTACTAATACTAATAATTGATGGTGAGCTAAACCGAGTCTCCATCAATCTGCTACTCTCCGTGTGCTTGACTCGCTGCCTGAAAAGAGTGGAAACAATGAGCGTCAAAGTGCTAGCAATAACATCTCCACCGCCCCCAGGGGGAAGGGGTTAGGAGCATAAAAATACATGTTAGTACATATATATATAAATCTTCTATCCTAAACTAAGTGGAAATTGATATTTAGAAATCCACAACACGAGAATGGGTATGTCGAGCGAAATAATACAAATAAGGAAACTCTCATGTATATACCTCGTATCTCAAATTATGAATCGCTAAATATCAACTCCAAATCCTATGATTAAAACAATAAATAAAAGAAATACAAATTTCAAACCTTATCTAACACAAGTCATGTCAAAATCCTCACACTACCCTTGGGTAGGTGGCACGGTCATAAGTGTAATATCCCGGTCAAGGAAACTCATATAAAATATACTGTAAATGACAACCTTAGTCTTATACCCTACTCTCGGGTAACTAAACATGGGAGCAAGAATGCAATATGTGTAATCCTCTATCAGAAACAATAATGCTGATTAAGGCGCTCATAATATCTTGTCGCATCACCTACCTTACTCAATCGCCCTTTGGAAATAAGCATATTACCCTATTCCGGAAACAATGATGCACAACGGGGTGTAGTCTACTGCGGTCTCATTGCAGTATACCAACTAACAACCCTGAGTGTAGTCTACCGTGGTCTCATTACGGTATACCAACTAACCCACTCAAGCATCCAAACTATCATGAAATACAATATATGTTATTTTCTAACATGACAAACTCAAATTATAGAATTACGCATCTCCAAACGCTTGTGCGCGCTCAAACTCCAATATGTGTACCCTCGTATACAACGTACGTATATCGATGTCTGATTCGTACTTCGTGTGTGCAAACAAAACACGTGAAATAAAACTAATATGCACGAAACAGCCCTGTAGGCAATAAAAATTGCCTTTAATCCCTATCAGAGAAGTTCAGAATAAGACTGCTAAAGCCTCGCCCGAAATAGCTAAAAAGGGGAAAACGCTGATATCTCTCAAACCGGAAGGAATTTGGTGAAACAGACAGGAACAAACCGAACCCCATGGGGTCGGTTTGGTTGGCTCCATCTCGTCGAGATAGTCGATTTTCATATATAATTCGTCAAATTCCAACTTACGGTTTGGAAGTTATGACATGTTCTTCGTGGCATGTTCTGGAGCTCGCCTGCATAAGTCAAGCTCGCCTGCAGAGCTCGTCTGCATGATCCAAGCTCGCTTGAAGGCTGAAGCTCACCCGTAAAGGCTAAAGCTCGCCTGCAAGGAAGTCCGTCTGCAAGGATAGAGCTCGCCTAGCAGCATTGAAGCTCGCCTGAGTGAGATTCGCCTGCACAGCTCGCCTGCACAGCTCGCCTTACACAGGCTCGCCTGCACATTGAGCCAAGCTCACCTGAAGGCCTAGCTCACCTGACAGCTCAAAGCTCGTCTGTTTGGCTGACTCACCAGCACAAAGGTTCGAGCTCGCCTGAAGACCAAGCTCGCCTGATAGCCTGCACCTTGCCTGCGCGGACTAAGCTCGCCTAACAACTAGAAATCCGCCAGCATTGTCAGCTGCCCACTTGGAGTATGGGAACAGTCACATCAGTGGTCAAATCCTACGAATCAAGGGAGAAAGCATGGCGCTCCTCACCTAGTAAGAATAGGGCGGCTGACAGGACCCCCTAAGTGGTCACATCCCACAGCTAGGGCGGCTGGCTCCCTCACCCCTACTAGTGGTCAAATCCCACAAATTAAGGGATGACCCATGACATCACTTGCCTATTTAAAACTACTTTCAACCAATGTGAAAAGGGGGGATTAGCTGTTGCTTGCTTGGCTGGCCAATCTTCCAAAGGTTGAACCTTGGCTCATTTGCTAAAGGCTCCCTCATTTAAAGAGACTCGTCTGAACTCTCAGACTTGAGACTCTCAAGCTCTTTGCAGACTCTTGTATAGTAGCTTTTTGCAGACTCGTCTGAACTCTCAGACTTGAGGCTCTTAGGCTCTTTGCAAGTTCTTGCATGGTAGCTCTCTTCAAGCAGTCAGCCAACCAGCACAAGCCTCCGTTTGGCCTCAATTGATCGAACTCACCCAATCAAGCTTCTACTGCGTACTGAAGCTCACCAGCAACCTCGATCGAATCGTCCAAGAGAAGCAGACTCAGTGCGAGAACCGAGCGAGGCATCCTATCGCTACCAAAGTCTCCACGTTAAATAAGGAGGGCATTCCCTCCGCTTCTGTTGTAATTTTGATTCATTAGTTTGTACTAAGCTATTCTTATCAATACAAACGAAGTCCCCGTTTCGGGAAAACAAAATTTACACCTACAAGCCCAGACCAGTCGACCGATCATGTGCCATCGGTCGATTAATGGCTTACACAATCGTGCACAAACAGCCTTGATCGGTCGACCAGTGACCTATGTCCGGTCGATCGACCAAAGGAA